AAGGGTATTTCTGCTCCGCTTCTTATTTGTGATAAATCTCTCATCTTGCGGCGCGCCCTTTGTCTTCTCTCTTCGCCTAGAGGGAAGAGACTGAGAGATCAGTGTGCGAGAGAGAGAGAGAGAGAGAGAGAGAGAGAGAGAGAGAGAGAGAGAGAGAGAGAGAGAGAGAGAGAGAGAGAGAGAGAGAGAGAGAGAGAGAGAGAGAGAGAGAGAGAGAAAGAGAGAACTGCACGCAAATACGACCAGAGAGGGACACATACTGGGCAAATACGCAATGCGATGCCGAGATAGAAATAATATACAAATCTGAAATTGAATTAACTGGTAAGTCTCTAGTTTTAGTAGAGGTTTTACGGCGCTCGCAACTTCAAGGTCATATGAGCGCCAGAAGATTAGAGGTGTTACAAGAGAGTAACAAACATAACAAAGAAGAAAGGGAGATATGGATGATAGTTGTTTGATAGGAAAAAAGAAGCAAACCACACTTGAGCACCCGCCAACCACTGGTAAGTCTAATTGTGCAGACTACGATAGCAAAATAACAGTTATATAAAGGGCATTTGAATTCTCAGCCTCGTGACTCCACAAACAATATACATACATGTATCTGTATATTCTAATTGTGTCCACGGGTTTATCCCCATTGCCCATGTTTTTCTCAAAGGCGGACATTTAAATCGCTTGTTAATGCATGGGCGGTCGTCAATGACATTTAAATAGCGACTTTCATCCACATAACGTAAGACGTAATTTTAACTACGATAACAACCGTACATACGTAGGACGTACGTCTCGGATTTCCGCGGCGTAAACTTACGCCGAAAATGAAATAACGCTTCCTTTGCGTTGAGATTAACGGGGCTTATATTCCCCCATAAGATTAGTTGTTCAAAATCTGGGCATAACGTCTTTTTGTGATATAGAAGTCAACATAAATCGCATTTGATTGTGTAGAGAAATTGTTAGTTAATGTTTTGACCTGAGGACAACATGGCTCTAGACTCTAGAGTACATTGCATGTCTCTCGGATTTGCAGTGGGAACTAGATCTTTTCTTCCCGAACGTGTTTGTCAAATTTTTGCCTTAAGGCGACTGCGTAACTGTACCTTATATTTAATGTGTGCAGCTTACATTTTTGTTACCCCCCCCCCCCCTCCTAAACGGATACAATTTTAAAGAAAGCTTACGTAATCTCCCCCTAGAAAAGATTCTTTTTTGAAAAAGCAGGCAACGCCAAACCAGTCATCACTTTCAAGATCGTCCCCCCCCCCCCCCCCCCAACCAAAAAAAAAGCAACAACAACAAAACAACAACCAACAGCAACCAAACAAAAAAAACCAAAGATTAGAAAAATAAAATAAAAATAAAAACAAAACAAAACAACCCATAGACATAGAGCCAGAGCACCCATGTGAAACGACAACGGTATATCTAAAAATAATAATTACATAACAAAGTTCTATTACAGGACAAAAAAAGACAGAAGGAAATTCTTCTCGGGGAAAGTAAATGATACACACTAGATCTATACGTGCCTGGACAAGCTCAGGATAAAATTAAAGATGACAGAATTGCAAACGTAACTATGCAGGTGAATAATAACTTCAGTCAGAGTTAGGTAAGAACACGACGCAGTGTAACAATAATAGCCTATTATGTTATACCCTTTCTGCACACGGCGAGAAGAAGGGGAAAAAACCCAGAGAATTATTCTGAAGTATCTAACAGCGTGAAGCAATGCCAGCAGCAGCAGCAGCAGCAGCAGCAGCACAGCAGC